CGGGCCGACGCAGCGCGGCTCGCCCCGCCGCACCTTCCGGCTCTGCGAACCGTTCCCGGCGGTGCGGGCGTGAGGCTGTGCTGCACACCTGCACAGCCTGTCTTCCACTAAGACATCCTGAAAGCCCCAGTTCCGAGGAAGTTTCCATGGCTTTTGTCCGTGTTGCGCGCAACCGCGGTATTGAACTTTTGATGCGATCAGGAATTCTGCTCAGGCTAAAACTGTCAGGGAGCGCGATAGCCTGATGTGCGCTCTGCCACTTCCTCAGTAAGTGATCTGAGACAGAACATGGCACTTGGCAGCATCTCAGAGTCCTTATCTGTAGCTCGAAGAGGGTAAAGTTTTGCATTTGACACCCAAGAAAGCGTCCATAAGCGTTTTACGGGGTTGTAAATGGGGTTATCAAATATAAGAGGTTTCGAACTTCTTAACCATTGACAAAGTATTGAACAGGAGTTGAAGGAAGTAGATTGGCTGATATTTCCTAAGCTGTTTTGCAACTTCACTTCCAGGCTTGTTCTGAAGATAGAAATTAGGTTACCAACCTTAAATATACTGGTCAAGTTATTTCTGAAGTCCAGCAGAGATTTCCAGAAAAAGCCAGGTAATTCTCTACTGAAAAATCACAAAAGAACAAGTTGCAGATGTTGATAAGCAGCTTTGAGTATCTAATTCAATGTGGTTTTGGGGAAATATATACTTTATTGGTGATCATTGTAATCAGCTGTGTAATGTAGAAATTAAATTCACACCTGAAAACCACGGGGAATATATGTATTTTCTTGTGCTGTATTCACAAAGGGCACTTATTTAGGGAACATAAGTAAGCCCAGGCTTACATGCTCATGGACAAAGCCTATGTGTTTGCTGCACTGAAAAAAAATTGTTGAACAGTTCTGTCTTTCAAAGCTTTTCGGCACTTGTTTTGGTGGGTACATGTTTTTGGCTTTGATGACTCAAAATCTCTTGAAATATTCTATTGGTAGCTTAGTACTTGTTTACTGTCTTAGGGATTTTTATGCTCTGTAGCCCTATAGGCATCAAGCCTTCTTCTAGTCTGGGATATAACTACTCCTGTTACAACTGCATTATTCCACAGGGAGTTTAAGGCAACATACAGAAAATATGTACTTGTTTTTACACAGGATAAAAATAAGTGAGGAAACTGACATGAGGTTAAAGAGAAGGAAAACAGGAAGCTAGAACAATGCAACAAACTGGCCAAAGTGGAGGGTTTTATGTTGTTTTTGAGATAAAGATGAACCAGATTTATCAAGAGAGGCACATCTTTTCTAGATACTAAGACTTTATAAAAAGTCTTTATAAAGTGGAAATTATGAATGTCCAGCTTTAAATAAGGATAGGTATCCTCTGACAGTCTTTAAGCATGCTATTTTTGAAATACAACATGTAAAAAGAATTAGGCAGTAAAATTTCTGAGGTCATAGGGTTCAAGATGACCCCGAAGTACAAATGTTTTACATTGCCAGTAGTGGCAGATCCATATGCTTTGACCATCAGCCCGGAAAAGAGTGGAAAAAGTCAAGATTCTGCGTAGTGGTTTAAAAATATGTCTGCTATAATCATTATTTAATTGTACCATGAGTGATGCAAAGAGGAAAACATTTGCTATATATTAACTGCAGAAGAATTTTAAAGCTTTTTAAAACACAGAGTGAGTTAATTTTAACAAAACCAGTGATGTGAGTTGGTTGGTAAAGTGAATAAATTTGATTTTACATCTTAAGCACATAATTCCAAGGTAAAGGTTATATAATAAAAAAACTATTAATAGGTACTTCTCAAAAGAAGTACAAAAGGGTAATAAATACATGAAAAAATGTTCAGCATCTCTGGCCATTAGAGAAATGCAAATTAAAACAACATTGAGATTCTATCTTTATCTATTCTAAAGAATGGCTATCATCAAGAAAGCAAATAATATCAAATGCTGGCCAGGCTGCTGGCGAAACCTTTCTACTTTGTGGGAATGTAAACTAGTACAACTGCTACGGGAATCAGTAAGGAGGTGCCTCAAAAAACTAAAAATAGAAATTCCATTCAACTCAGCTATTTACCTTTGAGGTATCTTCACAAAAGAATTAAAGACATCTTAGTGTCACAGGGAAGTGACTTCCAACCTGTTAGGTATCAGATGTGTTGAATTTGTTTCTCAACAACCAAAAAATGGTTATGGGGACAAAGGAGGAAAAAAGTAGGAAGAGTTTATTGAGATAAAACTCCTGAGAGACAGAAGGGGTCCTGAAAGGGGGTTGTTACAGAGACTCTTTGTCCAAGGGTAATGTATACACAAAATCATAACTTGGGTAACTGTGGGTCAAATTACAATTGACCTGTAGGATTACAAGTATTGTGGCTTAGCTAATAATACTGATCCAATAGGGAAGTGAGGCATATAGTGAGCTTTATGGTAGGAATCACTAAGTTTAGTTCATCTAAAACTTATAATGTAGAAGGATCAAAGGCGTTTTAGGCAAAGTCTAGGAACATGAATCAGGGGGTTTTGATTACCCGTTTTTGTACCTAATGCCTTATCTAGGTTCACCAAACCAGGTGGTGCTAACTACAGTGCAATTTTAAGCTTTTTTCTCTCTCTGGGGCAGCTCGTAGGCCTGATCTCTTTCTGTTTGTCCCTAGACACAATTTTGATATGTCTCCTCTTTTATACTAACTCCACTGAGGGCCTGATCCCTCTCTGACTGCCTCTTAATTTTTATCTAACTTAGCTGTCTATATATTTCAGTGATATATGCCCATGTTTATAGCAGCACAACTTGTACTTTCTAAATCTTGGAAGCAGCCTGTATGTCCATCAACAGAGGAATAGATAAAGAAAGTGTGGTATTTATACACAATGGAGTACTACTCTGCCATAAAGATAAATGTGAGTCGTCTGTAGGAAAATGGATGCACCTTGAGACCATAGCGTAAAGTGAAATAAATCAGACACACAAGCATAAATATTGCAGTTTCTCTTACATGAGAAATTCAAAGCATAAATAAGTAAAGAACTAAATAAAAGATAGATCATAGGAAAAAAAGGAGCTAGATCTTTTGCAAAAGGGGAGGGGACCAAGAGACAGAGGGAGGGGGAAGGAAAGGAGGGGAAGGAGATGAAAAAAGAACTAAGGCATGTTGTACACATGGACCAACTCCCCACAAGGAATGTAATCATTATGTACTGCAAACATAGGCCAATAAAAATTAAAATAATAATAGTAAATTATTGTGGCTAACTTTATAATAAACTCTAATGAACTGTCTAACTTTATAATGACAAGGCATAGACTATAAATAAAAAGTAGCATAATAGACCTTTCATCCCAAACTGATTATCATGTATTTTTAGTGTCTTCAGGTTACTAGATAGTCTTAATGTCTTTATAATATCTGAATATAAATATTTCCAAATTTTTGCTCTTATCTGTATAATGTAGTGTTTCCCCCTTCCTTGAGAGTTCCTCAATAAAATATGAATGGTAATATGTGACTCCAGTTTCATCTCTGCCTTTAGCCAAGGCTAAAACAAACAAAAAACCTGAGGTCATAACTTTTCTTTATTTTCTATATAGCCAAGGTTTACAATTTATTATCCAAGAGATAACAGCCCACTAAAACCTTCAGGTATGATAGGACAGAGCATAAACACAGTCTTTTTAGTCTGTGGACTATAGAGGTTTAGATAATATGATTTCTTGATGAATCTTCCAACATAAATTAGTTTTAAAACATAATTTGATGTGATACTGAGTGCTCCATAGATTTGTTACATGTAAATCAATTAAATGTTGGAAGGCATTGCCACAATTATTTGGATTTTCAAATAGTTGGTATTAAATTATTTTGTTACTAATCAAGACTGCTTATGTGTTGAGGCAAAAACTATGTTTTCAAAGTCTAGGTCAATTCTATATTGTTCTGGATAGCAGTAGGACTTGAACTGTATTCAGAATCCGCGTCAGGTCATTGTGAGGAGAGATTTAAGAAGAGATGAGGAAAGCAGGGCACATCTGTGTTTTATAGAGCTTGTATTGATTTTCAGATGTGTTAAGAAGCTGTTTTTCTTAACCTTTATCCTCAGGATGATTTTAAGGTTTACATGAAAGTTGGCGGGAAGGTTTCTATATTTAACACACGAAGTGGTTCTGTCTGCAGATTCAGTAGCTAAGAAAAGATAAATTACAAATAATCACATGCTGTTTCTTACAAGTCTCCTCACATTATAATAGGTAAAACATTCAGAAGGGAACCTGAAGTTTGCCTATACCTGTGTGGGTAAGTGTTACAAACAGAAGTGGCCCTAGTGCTGGATTTGGCCCTCCTGCAGCTGCATAGCTCTTACAGGATTCCTTTTGAACATCTGTCCTTTTGGAGATAGGGAGGATGCTCATGGCTTCCCACTGTTGCTAGTTTCAGGGTGTCTCACTGTCTCTTACTGCTTTTCCTAATCTTATCCTTGTTTTTATAAAAAGTCCTTTCATTAGACTCTCGCCATGCTGTGTCTTTCTGCCTAGAGCTCTGATTGATTCAGTTATGTGTATAAATTGGAGGAAGTATCAGAAGAGAGATCCTCAAGAAATCTTTCAGGAATAATGTTACTCACATATCTGATGACTGTCTAAAGTAATTGTCAAGAATAAAGGAGCAGTGGTACTCCATAGCATAGCGCAGAAGCACAGTCACTCCATCGTCAGTAGTGCACCAGATGGAGTGTTGGTAGAGGGCACCGCACGGGGGAGTCAGTCTCTAGTACTTAGCTGCTGTGATAATGATAATTACTACGACTGTGGCGTCATTTGGTTGCTTTGACCGCTTTTCTGAGCGCACAACACACATACAAATAGAGAGCCTTGAATTTCACATTTAAGGCTTGAGTAGAAAATTAGAAAGTTTCTTTGACAGCTTTGAAGAAACCCATTATTTCTTATAGCTACCAATCAGAAAGGGCTGAGAGTCAAGCCCAGAACCTGACTGTACGGCCTCGGGCATCGAAGTGTCAGTTAAATGCAAGGCCTAGTTCTGTTATGCTGAGGGAGGGCAGTAGTGAAGACGGTCTAGGACCCTGTGACCTGGGTAAAAACCTTCAGGCAGGTGTGAATGAGGATGAAAATGCTGGGCGAGAGTTAGAGGTTCGACATTCCACAGATGGGGAAGTGTAAGGACAGGTCTTGGAGGAGAGAGTTTATACACTGAAGGTGTTACAGAATCTTGCCAAATACTTCGCATTACGTGCACCCTGCTTAGTC